TGCCATTACATATCCCCAAATCTTACTTCGAGTGGAAAGATAACCTCATTAGTTCTACTCAAAGCTGTTATCATTTTTTAAAATAACAGCACCATGCAGTCTTCTGATAAGCTCCAGTTAACCGAGAATTGTTTTTAAAGGCTTTTACTGTATGCCAGTGGTGACCTGCTATCAAACCTAGAAGATCCTATCTTCCATTTTGCCTAAGAGACACAATGCAGTTTTACTGTTTTGCCACAAACACTTAAGTGCTAGAGTAGGGTGGGAGTGAAGGCAATTCAAATACTCAGCTTGATTTGGTATAACAACTAGCAGAAGGAGGAAAAGCGTTAAGCTTTTTCCCCTAGAATCTGTTGTAACAGAAGGGGTACTGCAAATTCACAAAGCGTCTTCCCTCTTGACTCTCCTCCCTGCCCCCAAAAACACCAGAAAAATTGTTTTGGTCCACTTGAACCAATCCATAAAGTACATCAACAGACATTTGGCAACCTAAGTTCCATCAATGCACAGGACGTTTAACAAGAAAGCTGGTAGGAACAAGTTTCCTCTCTCCCTCCACAGTCCAGTGAGGAACATGAAATCTGGTAGACGAAGTCTAAAACGCGAGATGATCAGGCAGTATTTAACGTATGCACAGTGTTTACACTGTGACATACTTTCGGATTAATTTGTATATATAGTTGACGTAATAGATGGTATCTGACAATACTGTTATCTCAAAGCCACATGGAGATATATTTCACAGAGTGCCCTGAATCTGTCAGATAAACTCCGTAACAATAATGCTGGTCTCAAGCCTGAAGGTGGTTCAAGAGACAAGAAAGTTGCGGTCATTACTCTAGTCGTTCTTCCCCGTTCAAACTGGCAACTCCAGTTGTGGCAGAAATGGCTGCACTGGTGGTACCACTGTACTCATTTAGAAACCAAACATTTGTAGTATAAGTACAATTTTTTTTAGTGAAAAATCTATGCCCCAATCAACCTTACCATTTTCTCTTTTAAATAACAACAGGTTTTGCATGCCTTGTGTGGCAGCGACAACTGTAAAATGCTCTTCAAACACTCACTGCACACCACCAAAACATTAAGGATTCATGAAGTTTTTCATTCCAGTAATTAAAATGCAAGCAGGAAAAAAGAAAAAAAAAATTAATTTATCTTTAAATCCCTTTCAAAAGCACAGCCATCCTACCCAGGAGCTGTAGAGAGCTAACTAAGCTCCTTAATTCTCTTCTATTTAACCCACTCCTGAAGACCGATGTTCTAATGAGATAGCAGTAGAAGATTCTTCCGTTTGCCATACAGCATTAGAAACGATTCCACAAAACAGTCCAGGCTAAAACAGACATTTAACTCTTGTACAATTGGTTAACATAATGCAGTTTGGGAGTTTGTATACTTTTCTACAAAAGGCAAGGTACTGAATGACAGGTCTGCCTCCAGGCAGGTCACAGAGATCACAATAACCCACCCAAAGAGAAGGAAACCTAGCTGTCACCGTTGGGATAACAGAAACCCACATAATGTTGTAGTTTAGATAGTCTGTCAGTTAGTTCAGCAGTGATGAATTTTTCTTTCTTTGGCTGCCTGCCACTGAACGAAAGCTAATCTTGCTCCTAAACAATCTAAGCATTAAATGCACAGGAAGCCTTATCTTCTGACTTATGACAGAAGATGACAGACAGAGCTGGTGAAAATGAAGAGGTGCTGCCCTAATAGCCAAGGGCAGCAACCCTTTAAATACAGTGTGATTTTTAACACCCAACCAACTCTAGATGTTGGCACTAACAGTTGATGAATCTGCTTTGCCAGCCTCGGATGTCACAGTAGGAAAAATCTGACTTGGACAGTATAACACAGATGAGAAACGCAGAACCACACGAAGTGTCCTTATTTATGCTGTCATCTTGACACATATGAAAATGGTGTCTAAACCAAGTGCATCTATTCAAAATGAATCCTCAGGTGCTTGTTTCTGTTTCAGCCATGCAAACCTTAGTTAGTAACTATTCACCTTAAAACAATTATCTCTGAAAACTGTATAAAGAATACACACACACAACATCCTCTTAAGAAGTAAGCTTTGAAAATCTTCTTTAAAATAAAAATATTTAAAAACCCGCACAGAAACAAGACTAACCCCCCACCACCACCAAATCACACAGAAACCAGCCACAAATATGCCAAAAAGATTATTTCCTGATCTCTATTCAGCCAGCAGGTTGAAATAAAGCACCAGTACCTGGATTTAAGCACATGGTTATGCAACTAAACACTGCAAAGTGCCAAAGCTAAAGTTGTGAAGGAAGCCTTACCACGGCCATTTCTGGACTCCAATGCAACACATTCAAGTGGAAAGCTCTGCAGTACAGCTCTTTGTGTATGGAAAGTTTGCCACCAATTAAGTCTGTTTATAGCAACATTCAAGTCCTGGCTAACTTTGTTTCAGTCAAATTGTAATAGATTACCGAATCAAACGAAGAGAGAACTGCTGATGCAACTGCATCGGCACAAGAAACCAACCCTTCCACAGGCAGGCAAGCTGCAACGACTTCATTTTTTTCGCAGTGACTCTACCTTAGCAGTGGCAACTACAGCACACTGCATAGAAGAACACTGCTGCAGTGTAATTCTCTTCTTTTTCCATCAGCAGCCCAGGCACTCTGAAGGGCTTCACACAGAGCGCGTGCAGATCCACATAGGAGGCAGGCCTTAGCCTTAGAAGTGTTACAGCTGGTTCGGTGGAAAGTTTCCCCATCACTGCATTTTTCAGTAACAAAGATGTTGTCAGAAATGACAATTTTCCGTGTCCCCTGATGATGCCTTGCTAGGATTTGGTTATAGGCCATAAAGCAGGAATAATTTCAGCCTGTCAGGAGTCTAGCTAATGCCCAGTTTCCCCCTAGAGAGAATTCCTGTCAAACGTAATGAGAGCTCCAAAGGCCCTCTCTACAACATAATGAGCACTTAGGCCATGCTGGTGATCAGCCAGCAAAAAGCATCAATTTGAACCTGGCTACACCCTTGGGGCTAGACGTCACCAGTTTTAATAAGAATTATGAGTACTATCTGCCAAAAGCCTCCTCGGAACTTATCGTTAGCGGTGGAAATTCAGAAGAATGTCACCGGCAGATTACGGGAAACAAAAAAACCTAAGACCACCTACACATTGGACTGTAACACCATTTGGCATCCTCGTTGCAGGCGTCTAAACCAAGAGTCATTAACAACAAGGTGCTACTTTTATTGGAAATTAGAAGTACTTTACATGTACAAGCATAGTATCTAAGACTCATATCCAGGGAGATATATTTATGCCTTCAAAAGCTCATTCTTTTCTTAACAGCATACACAGAGCACGTGTGCTCTACTCTCCCCAGCTACAACGACCACAGGTATAATACTCTGTCGAAAATCTTAAAAGCTTCCTGAAGCATCACTGCCTACTGGGTATGTAATTATAGTTGCCATACATACAGAACATTAAACCGTTGCAATACACAGATGTTAAGGTCAAAGCGGAAGCCTCAGTTCTGACACTCTTTATTCTTGCGGGCTTAATTGATTTTATCTAAAGTTAATTCCCAGTACATTTACTGAAGTCACACATTCTCTTCAAATATCTTCTGAAAACAACTTCCATTTTGCACCAAATGGAACTCCTATACAGATGTTTGCTTCCTCACGGGTTACAGGGTGCTAAAAATTTGTTTAGCAGAAGAAAGAAATCTCAAAATCACACAGCCTGGAAAAGTGACCTCACAGAAAAACTGACATTCTTCTAAAACACAAGACACAAGGAGACTAATCCAGCTACAGTACAGAATCAAGCCAAACACTACTCTAGTTGTTCTGTCTACCTATTCAATGCATTAGCTTAAAAAAAAAAAAAAAAAAAGAGGTTGTCATAGTATTTCTTCGTTTACCAACTTTTTGGATTCAAACAAGTGTACCTCTAAAAACCAAGAGAATACCTACCCAGCTTTGCAGACCCAAAGTTATCATAGAATTACAATACCATCGCATCAAATATAATATTTTTAGGGGAAAACAAAACAAAAATCAGAGAGTTCAGAGTTACAAAAGCAAAATTCAACTCTGCAATTCACTAGTTTAATGAAAGTCTTTGAATATACTGAAGATCCAAAGCCTGAACTAATCAATTTATTCGCTGTGCCCAAGCCGGTCAGCCATGCTCTTTTAATTTAATGAAACAAGAGTTTTAGATGAAATAGCACATACACATCACGAAAGAATTGTATTGTTGCACTTTGAAATGTGTCCAACTGTGCAACTTCATCTAATGATAATTTTTTTTAAGAGGCCATCGATTTCTGAAAGACTTATTGTACCAGCATCTTGATGAAAAAGTGAATGTCAGCATATCTACAGAATACTTACACCCTGCCATTAATGCTTTATTTGGCAGACAATGACTACTCAATTGAGGGTCCTCTGGGCTGAGCAATCATTTAGCTTTTCTTCTCTTATGAGGTCCTTAGTGTCTTGTTCCAGTTCAATACTCTTTTTATTCACCATTATAGTGGCCATAAGTGTGAATTTTATGGGAACTTGCAAACTCATAGTCATAACTAGAGCTTTCCAAGTCACTAATCTTTTCATACCTTTAAATGGCAAGGATTTGAGCAACTATCACCGCATATGCTACACATGCCTAAGACCAGTTCTACATATCAAAGGCTCTACCACCAACAAAAGAAAACCACATAAAGCACTGAATTATATTTTCGAAACCACAGACACAAGACTTTTCCTTTTTTTGCCAATGTCTTTTGGGACCATTACCAAGAAAGCCTTGTCGTTCAAACTAATCTATACCTCATTTGACAGCAGGTAGGCAAAGGTTTACTAATCACAGCTACAAATCAGCCTATTGATTCAGACGCATGATACAGTCACCCGAACATTAACAGAACAGCTACATTTAAATGCACTAGACAGACTGCAGATATTGTGGTTTAGAAAACAAAATGCCTTACCTGTTTGTGCATTTCAATGTTTAATCCGTACGACATTTCATAATACTGCAAATAAAGAAGCATACATTATTTTTTAATTCTGGCTTATATTGAGCTAGGAGATATTTACTCAAATAAATAAAAAAACGAATATACTTACCATCACATAGTGCCTCTGCATTTCTGTCTTTTCACTTGCCAGTTTCTCACATTCCAATTTAAGGCTACAAAATAGATCACACTTTAATGTAACTGTTATATCATTCGTTTTGACATTTACCCATTTTATTTGTATTTTGACAGAAGCAGCTAATCAAAAAAAAACTCATTAAACTAGCACACAAACACAGAAGACTTAGTTCATACTTTAAAAACGAAAGCTGAACAGGAAATTTAAAAGGTATTTCATGGGTGCTGTATGAGACCCAAACTGCCTCCAGAACCCAAATATAGCAGCTCTGCCAAAGCATGAAGATTGGCTATGAAGTGCTACAACTTTCAAGCTGTAACAGGATCTGAACTTCTCCAAAGTATACGGCAAATCACTGCCAAGTAACACCATTCTCGTTTACAATTACAACCTGTGTATGTCTATAATTCTTACGTACTCACTAGCCAACTGTGTCTTGCCCACAGCTTGAAAATCAGTAAATTTGACTATCAATTACTAGAAAGTCTTCTATTTTTGTTTTCATAAATTAAATGAAGTTGCATTTGGCGTTTGCTTATCTCATCACTAACAACGGTATCATTCTGACTACTGTCACTGAAGGCAAATGCTTCAACACTGCCTTTTTTCCCTCGCAAACTAACTTTTTTTTTTTTTAATGACACTAGTAATCATCCCTGGGAGCAGTTAGTGCGTAACCAGCAATTTTCACTTCCAGCTGTGATATCGAATGTTTACCGTTTACACTTCATTTCGAAGATAATATACGGCTTAAACAAGTTAACGACTTTAGAGAAGACTACGACTACAGTATCACAGGTAAGAAAGAGGAAGCCTTATCAGAACCAAGCGATTTCTAACTGGTAAACCTGAAAAGATTTTATTCCTGTCCAGGTCTTGAGGTGCACGGAAGTACAAAATTAAGCAAGATTAATGCCCCTTAAGGGCAACTGCCGTGTGTACGCAAGAGCCCACACCCTCAATCTCTGTAGGGACCTCAGCAGCAAGCACAAACACAGCAAGAACGTTTGAAGGCCAGCATAGCAGTCAAAAACGCATGCCACGGCTTCAGTAGATCCACGTCAACTTTGTGTTAGTACTCCAGTACTTGTTTGCTTTAACAATCCTTCTTGGCTCTTTAAGCACCGCACATTAGCATTTTATTAATCTTTGCATTAACACCACACACAAATGAGCAAACATGGGAATTAGCCTCCTTAATGCTCGGTGCCACAGAATTAGCGCCGGTCTTCTCTCGAGATACTTAAAAAAGTCCTCCCCATAAGGATCCCTTCCATTTTTTTTTTTTTTTTTTTTTAATGCATACAAGCGCCGAACCGCTCCGGTTTCGGCATTACCACCCCCGGGCAGGTGACCGGGCAGCACACCGGCAGCACAACGGCAGCAGGGCCCATCCGGGGCTGGGCTGCCTCTTCC